CAAAAATAAATGAACGCAAACATTTTAAGTCGCATGAAAAAGAAAAATATTTTCGCTTCTTGCTCAAGTTGAGGTGCTGAGTACTTGTTGACGATTTCTTACGGTAAATTTATTTAAGTTAAGTCTTGACTAACTACGTTTTAAGAAACTTGCTTAACTCATTCTCTTAAAATGTTTTTGTTTTTGCGATTCTTGGTTGCACCTTGCTTTTACGTAAAATATATTCTCACTCCTCTTTTCATTATCTCAAAATAATTTCGCAAACAATATGGGAGGTGAAGTGGTTTCTTCATCCTTTTGCCTTTTCCTTCGGTCTATTTGTGTAAACTGTTTCACCACATATGGATGTATGTATGAAACTTTTTATTCAGTATGTATTCTATATTCATGTATGTATGTCTTGATATGCTTTGTCCCAATTATTAAATCGCATGTTTCCTTGCGTTAACATCGACACAATACATTTGAATTTCAATTTACGTATTTGAATGTATGACTACATATGTACATATATGGAGATGTACCCTGAAGGAAAATCTCAAGAAAAACAAGCACAACCTAATGGCAAATTTTTTTTGGAGTTATATCTTTCCATTTAAGTAATATAGGTTGTAAATATAAAACAAATCGGACCATAAATGCGACCAAATATTTAGACTGCTGCGCCACCTATCATTAAATTTTTGTTTGCAGAGTTATTCCTTTTCATAAACATGGTAGTTTTCAAATATCCCTACACCTGCGCCACCTGGCGGATTAAATCTTTCATATTGCATTGTCATCTCTCTCCCTGAGCCAAATTTGATGTTTCAAGTTTCTAGAACATCGGGAAGTTAGTTACAGATGTTCCTGCTGGGTATGTTGATATGTACATAAATAAATATATAGAAAAACGCTATGTTCAGTTAGCCTCTGGCGAGAATGTCGCGCCACCTTTTTTGATTAACTAACTAATATTGGGCATGCCAGTAGGGCAGCCAGTCTGCGCCCATTTCTATTGAGGGCACATTAGGACACGGCCATGGAAACATGCTTATTAGTGATTTTGCTGATATGCGATAGTTGAGTAATGTGCGTGCTATTTAGGTACCTAATTTTTCAACCACATAAAAATAGCAATGTGTGTGTGTGTATTTATGTCGAAAGTTGTTGAAAATTTTAGTGTCTGCTTGGTAGGCGTTTAAGTATACTTCACTTGCATAGACCGATGTATTTTTGTGCTCCTATGCACAGTTAGTGTCAACTGGTTACCTGCTGCATGCGCTCATTATCGACCAACTACATTGGAAGTACAGCAAAAAAAAAAAATTGTTTCAAATTTCATGTGTTCATGTGTAGTGGGCGTTGTTGTGCAACACAAAAGCATTAAATGTATTGTCACATTTTATAGAGCAGTCGTGCGTCGCGCGTCCCTCCAAATTAGAGCAACAGTGGACGGACGTGCATGCCAATAGCTTTGTAGTAATATTCATTGTTTATTACATGCAGGCTGTCACAAGCACATACTCAAATACATACATACATACATAGATATATCTTTGACCGTTAGTTCATTATCGCCTCCTGGAGCACGTGCACTCGAGTTTATTAAATTAAATTTCCAGCATAGTTCAAAGCATAGCTGCAGAATTGCATTTTAGTTCCCTTGTGAGGGTGTGTGTCCCTGGGTTGTCTATTGCGCACAAGTGCACATGAAATTAATTTACTACCTGCGCGATATTTTAACAGTGTTGTGCATTGTATCCATGTGTTTGCGCGAGCTTTTGTTAATACTGGTTACTAAATACTAATACATATTTTACTCCAATTTTTTATTTTTTTTATATTTTATGTCCTCTTGGATGAAGCATCCACTCACTTTAACCATTTCAGACACCCGCTTAGTTAAATTTTAATCAGTAGTTATTAGTATGTCAATGCGGAAGTTATTACATACATACATATGTATGTAGGTATCCCTGAATGGCACAACTGGAGTTGGAGAAATGTATAGAAGTATTTATATAAGGCCCCACGTTCTTTTTACAGTGATATTTCCCAGGAAATATATATAGGTCTTCATTTCATTTACATTCGTACTGAATGTCATTATGAGTATTGTTATCGACATCATAAATTTCATCGATATTTTTACGTCAAACGATCGTTTTATTGTAGCTTGATGTTATCACCATATATGGTTACCGTATCTGTTATCCTTATTATTTAGAATTTTCGAAATAAATATCGATAATTTCGTTTCATTGTTAAATTTGATGTTATCGCTGTATGTATATCGTTGCCGTCATTGTTATCGTTTTTGCGTAAAATTATCGATTTAGATATCAGTATCGATAACTGCATCGTTTCGAATTAAAATTTGTTTGTAATTTTTGCTGTGGTCATACATAACTAGCCCATATAGGTGGCGTACCGTATATCGATAACTATCGATTTATATTTGCTACTGTTATCGAAACTTTACTGTTATTGTTTTATGTTCGTTATTTCAAACGAGGATATTACCGCGATTTTTCATTATCGATACTGTTATCCTTGACGATTATATTTGATCGATATCGATAACAGCAGCGCCACCTTTTTTAATAGAAAATTTCATGATTTTATTTGTTATCGGTATGTTTATAAAAAATATTGTTTAGTTACCTTTTTTCTAAGGACCTAACTCGTTATGTATTAATTTTATCTTAATTATCGATAACTAACGATTTAAATTTATTATTTTTGGCTATATGGTTTGTTTTATTGTTTTATGGACGTCAATATTAAAATTATATAAATCTCGTTATCGATACTGTTACCATCACGCTTATAGTTATCGATATCAGTGTGGCTATCGATAACTCTATCGTTTCTCTATTTTAAAATTTATATAAATTACATTTCTTGTTTTTGTTGGTCTTCGCTACAATTAACGAAAACTTATCGTTTGTCAAAATCAAAAGCTATCGCTAGAAAATGTTTTTAGGCAGCTTAAGCTTTGAAAAATACGAAAAATAGTTTTAAGCGAATCAGCGAATATCACGTAGCGAAAATACGGGTTAGGTATCAAGAGTTTTATTTTTAAATCATTGCAAAATCGTTATTTTTCGATGAAGAATAATCGTTAAACTCAGATTTTTATGTTTTCTATCAAATTAAATCACTTTTTTATCTTCGTTCAAAAATAGATATGTAATTGTTAATTAGGGAAATTTATTTCTTCTTCCGCTGTCTTCTCCGCACTATTCCATTATCATTATTAATCTTTTACCCGCAAACGCATGTGGCACGTTGCAATACGCTGTTGTGGTTGTTATTATTTGTTGCCAATCTAGATTGCGTGCATAGTGAATTATAAATGCCGTGTGAATTACTGGGACACAATGGTGCGATAAGTGGTGCGCTTTTTAATTTAAAATATTAAAAACCATATTTGCACTTCACAAACTCCAATCGAGCCCTAGAAATTGCAGTAAAATTGCTGACACATAGACGCACTCAGAATAGTAGCAACTATAACTAGGACTTCGCTAAAATAGAATATGGCACAGTTGGCGGCCAGAAAGTAGCGAAAAAAGTGTCCAGCATTTTCTGTGTCTTCAGGTAGTAACTGTACTGTAAGAGCTCTTAGTAACACTGCAGTGGATATACCAAGGGCTGCTATAAATAAGCGATGCCAGTTAATTCATCAGGCAGGCAAAACGGGTTGATCAAGCCATATTTAATGGTCATTAGACCATACCAGTTTAGTCCATACCAGCTTACCTTCGAATCTAAAGTATTTTTAGACGGCAGTTTTTCAAATATATTTTTGCAAAGCAATATCGAAAATTTTGTGTGCCTTTATACAATTTCGGTGGCACCTACATTTAGAATTAATTTTTTAATAGTTCTACGGGAATAATCGAAGTACTCCATTAGTAAAGGTTTAATGATTTTTGGTGAACTGACATTAGGGTGGTACGTAAGGATAATATGAAGTAAAGGGGATGGATATGAAGTATGGGTAAGTACTGGAACTTGAACTGTGGCAGAAAAAAAAATTGTCTCCTTGAGGCAAAAACATCGATACATCATGCTTTAAGATCCGTCTGTAAATGCCGTAGATTTAATGAAAAATTTAAAAAGGCGACCCCTACTTTCGGAAAATTTATCTTTTCGAAATTGCCTTGCCAAAAAACCTTAAATTCAAACGTGTACGGCGAGCTTTTTTTATGGTACGGTGATATTCATTAAGGTGAATCATCAGAAAAAAAAATCGAGTTAATTTTAATCATGTTAATTTTAAGCCTTCTCAAAAATATTTTGGACAAATATTAAGATTTACGAGAGTTAGACCGATTTGAAGATACCTCTAAAAATCTCATTATTTTGATTCCATTGATACATTTTTTTGATAAACATTTTTCTGCAGATCTTTAAGCTTAAACTCTTCTATCAGCTGAGGTGATTTTTAGAAAAAATCTTTTCAAAACCAATTTTTTTTTTGTAATATGACAAGGTAACTTAGTCGTAAATAAATCACCAAATTGATGCAAGCGATCGGCATGGCGAAATTAAAGATTAGGTATTAAGATGCTGAAACTTTCGTTTCAGGATTCCTACACGGACAAAATAAGGGGCGTGCATACTACACCTGTTTATTATTTCACCATGGTTCGAGCTACCTGTCGTTTTCTAGCGAATAAATATAAGTGAATTGAATCGAAATCAGCTTCTGCTTCAACTTGCACATACACTGTCACTGGCCTACTACGCTACAATCTGCTTATATTTATTCACAAATTCACTCCGATTGGCGCTCTCCTTTCCCCTCTAGATGGCATCACTCTGCACTTTATTGACGATTTATTATCGTTGCCAAACGTTTTGTTGTGAATACGAAAATTCGATTTTGAGCATTTCGGTGACAATAAATGTCAACAACATTGTATTTTTTTAAAAAATGCAAAGCACGTTTCCGGGTATGTCTGAGAATTTTATATGTTCTATTTTTGTGTTTTTTTTTGTTTGCTTACCTGCCTTACTGCTGTTCGTTTCTCATATGTACGAATTCAAATATTTACGGTATTTTTTTAGCCGCAGACCTTTGCGCATTTGCTTGTGACATTTTTTTCCATGTTGTTCCTTGGCTTATGTGCTTTATTGCCATTACACTTTGCTGTTGTGTGGCATGTGCCGTTGTTGTTGCAAGAGTCTGGCTTTTCAACTTTGCTGTGACATTGATAGTCGACTCAGTGGGTGCTGCTGCTGCTGCTGCTGCTACTACTGCCTTCAACGTCATAACTCGTATCGCAGCTGTCAGTTCGTCGACATGTTTATTTCGCATGGCAGGCATCATTTTACGTCACACTGCAAGAAGGTATGCAATGACATGTAGAGTGGAATAAAATCATAAAAAGTCGAACGAAAAACAGAAAACACAGCAAAAAACAAATCATTAGTACAATGCCTTATGAGTTCTAACGGTTAGTTACTCTTTGGGTGCTTAGATTTTATTTACTTAGTATAAGCCTAGTTGTTCGCTACGAATAGGCCTAAACTTGGCCTGATCTGTCTTTCAAAGTTAACGACTATCTCTACGATCTTTCTCACTTCTTCACCACACGACGCCCTACGCTCTACCATACACAATCAATGGTGACCCACTTCAATACCTGAAGGAGGTGCTAATACTACGCTGTGAACGAAGTTACTGACCGGTAAAAAGACCACAATCCGGACAGTAATAGAATGCTTTCTGTGGTCACCCGAATACCACTAATGTACAAAGCGAAGTCCAATACTTTCCGTTGGGGAATTTTATCCTCAGCAAGCAATCTCTGCTCGACTGCTAACGGAGGAAACATTCGAACAGACACCTACTGTAAGCAAATGCACTTTCTAGATGCGTCAAAAGGAAACCTCACGATCTCACGGATGCGATCTATACCGGGCACAACCACTGAACCAGACGTTGCACAGACAAGTCACGTCCACAATGAGACAATAACTACCTCTGCATACTTTCGCCCAGTGAATTCCGTTATCGGAGTTCAACCGACACTTCACCAGCAAATGGTGAGCTTAATCTGCCTTTAAGCAAAAGCGACGCGACCTCGAAGAGTTAGTAGGCCCAATTATAGCTAAAAGAGCCTGATAGAAAATTCTGTATCTCGAAGTGAACTGGATAAACAACTATATTGCAAGCGGCACTAAGCCAGCAAGACTCAGGTTTACCTAAGGAAACTAGACAATGTTACGCAACCTTGAAGTAATGCGAAAAGTAGTCTCAGACGGGACGGCATTTTCAAACCAACGGAGGGGAGTGTTTTAGTCTCCCGGTACACCACTGCTGTGATGAAAACTTTGATTATGCACCAGGCCTTGTGAATCCACACAAACTAAACATTTTTTTCTATTTTACTTTTCCTAATTTTATTTTATTTTTTTATTTTAATTTTATTTTATTTTATTTTTTTATTTTAATTTAATTTTATTTTATTTTCTTTTTTTTTATTTTATTGTATTTTATTTTATTTTATTTTATTTTACTTTATTTTATTTTATTTTATTTTATTTTATTTTATTTTATTTTATTTTATTTTATTTTATTTTATTTTATTTTATTTTATTTTATTTTATTTTATTTTATTTTATTTTATTTTATTTTATTTTATTTTATTTTATTTTATTTTATTTTATTTTATTTTATTTTATTTTATTTTATTTTATTTTATTTTATTTTG